ATAAGTTGGCACGTTATATTTAGTTCATTGATCTGTTTGACTTTGAACTGAAACTCAAGAATGGTTGCTACAACAAAGTAGCTGACGCCCTCTCTCGTAGGCTTGACTCTTTTGCGTTGATCTCCTCTACTCATTCCTTTGGAGAGGAGGTCCGTCAGACCATTGCTCGTTCACTGCCTCAGGATCCGACTTATGGGCCCATCGTCAGGAATCTGCAAGCAGATCCCAACTCTGAGCCTGGCTATGCCCTGAGTTCAGATCTGTTGTATACCTACAGGAGAGGAGAGGAGCGCTTGTGCATCCCTGAGGATCAGCAGCTGCGGACACTGCTGATGTCAGAGTGCCACGATGCGCGTGGACACTTTGGGTTCCTAAAGTCGTATGCAGCCCTGTCAGCGCTTCTTCTGGAAGGAGATGCGGAATGATATGCTGCGCTATGTGGATACCTGTGAGCTCTGCCAAAGGAACAAGGTTCAGCGTAAACCTCCTTTGGGATTGCTCAAACCTTTGCCCATACCTGATGGTCCTGCCTAGTCTGTATCCATTGACTTTACAGACTTAGGCAAGAGTACCCCTCGTGGCATGCGTCAGGTTATGGTCTGCGTGGACAGGTTTTCCAAATACGTAGAGTTCATCCCCTTGCCAGAGGTAGCCAGGGTACCGGCTGTGAGAGCAACCTTTTCTGAGAGGTGGGTCACACACCATGGACCGCCCACTTCTATTGTTAGTGATCGAGACCCTAGATTCTGCAACGATGAGTGGCAGTCCTACTGCAAGGACTACCTGCACTCACGCCTGGACATGACTTCTGGTCGTCATCCTGAAGCCAATGGATTGGCTGAAGTGATGAACCAAGTCCTGTTCCAGTTGCTACGCCCTGTGATCTCTCCAGATCAGCAGGATTGGGATCTCCACTTGGCGAGGGCACAACTCATGTATAACATTTCTGTCCACTCCTCGACAGGGTTCAGTCTCTACCGGCTACATTGGGGACGCGAGCCACGACAGCCTCTCGATGATATCATCGATAAGGCTAAGCCTGACCTTACCCTAGGCACTGTAGAGTTCGCCAGACGCTATCGTCTGGATGTGGAAAGAGCCCGGGCGAACTTGTTCAAGGCCCAAAAGGCCATGATTGAACAAGCTAACATCCACAGGCGGCCTTCCCCCATCCGCACTGGTGACTATGTCTGGGTGGCCAGTTCTGAGTTGTCGAGGGAGGAGGATATTTCCCCCAAGTTGTTGCCGCGCTACCTGGGTCCGTGGCAGGTTCTAGATACAGTGGGCGCTGATCCCTTCGGTCCGCCGTATGTCATCAACGTTCCGCTGCATCTACGAACCTATCCGGTCTTTCATGCATCTAAGTTGCTGCCTTTTACGCAAGCTGATGCATTCCCTGACCGGCCCCCTCAATGGGGCCCACCAATCCCTGGTAAGGGATATGATGTGGTGGCCATTGAGGATGAGTGGGGCACTGGCCCCGACCGGCAGTATCTTGTCAGGTTTGCGTTTCAGCCCCCTTCTGAGAACCGGTGGTTCTACAGAAGAGACCTGATCAAGACAGCAAAGTCTGTTGTTTTGCGGTATGACGCGGCTCAGAAGGGTGACCTTCGCCGCTCACCTCGTCTGCACCCCTAGCTCGGAGGTCCTCGCTCCCGGGGAGGGTAAGCCTGCAATGACTTGCTGATTTCTGCTGCCGTGATTGACTGCGAGGCTGTACACTAACCAGTAGGGCTAGTTTTGCAATTTTGTTTGGCTGAGGGCTAACCGAGGGATCCGCCTGTGTGGAAATTCGTGAGGGACAGATCTGTAATTTTGGGAAAATACAGACCTGGTACTAACCGGATTCCTACAGCTACCCTAACTGCCCATAGCAGGCCTAGGCTACCCTAGGACAGATAGGCCCTAAGTGGCCTACACTGCTATACGGTCCTATAGCCTATAGCCGGGTACGGTAGAGGCTGAGAGGCCGAAACAGCAACGGTACCGGTAGGTCCAGTCAGTCCAGTTTAGGTCTAGGCTAGTGTAGGAAGTCTATAAGTCCGGTAGGGGAATCGAGTAGGGACTTTTGGCTTTTCATTTTTCGCGTGCAGCGTTGGTGGCCAACCAAGTTTAGCAGCGCTGAATGTCTACAGCAGCACCTGCGACATCAGCGGCGTGAAGCAGCCATAGCCGGCCTACCTGAGACAGCCATAGCTGGGGCTGTGCTCAGCGCATCTATCCCCAGGGGATATCTGCGTTTGGCAGGACTATCGGAGGGTCTTCACTGAGTACATGTGGGTACTGCTGCTGCGGTGGCAGCCAGGCAGCCATAGCTGCCTTCTTCTTCGTCAGAGTGACTCATCGGCACTGGGGACTACCTCGCTGTTCATGATCTGCATCTGGCTGTATGGCGCTGGCCTCTGGGAGGCTGTTTCAGTGCAGCGCTAGACTCTGAGAGTGTAGTAGTGAGTGGAGTGTGTGGTACTTGAGTGGCGAGATACTGGGTTGAACTCTGAAACGATAATTGAGTTTAATTGTGTTGAGTTGGCTCATCATCTGGGTTACTTTCCGATTGTGATCTTCGCAGAGTCAATTGTGATTGGTTGTTGGGAGTGTATCAGGGAGAGAGAAACACTGAGTGTATTCTCCCCTTCTGTGCATAATTGCTATTCCGCTGTTTATCTCTGATCTGTGTGCAGTTGGACTCTGTCTCCTCCTCCCCTTTGTCTCATGCATGTATGGGCGTGTGTGAGTTCTTTTGTGTGTGAGTGGCAAGCAAATTGTCAAACAACCAAGTTCATAACACAGGCTGTCCCATCTGTTCAGTCTATCAATTGCCAAGTTCACCAGGTTGTCCCCATGGTCAATTGGGGGTCCGAATGGTGTCAATTTCACTCCCAAGATCCTGATTGCTGTCTCTTTTGCTGCCCATGTGACCTGCAGTTGTGGTGGGGGCCCCTCTCCCTGTGGGTGCAGCCACCATCCCTCCGTTTTGGCACCCAAATTGACCTTCATATCTGATGCAAGTGAGAAGAGTGTGAGTATAAATAGTTCAAAGTGCAGAGGAATGGTACTCAGGGCATACTCACACTAGCACTTCCATGAATGTTACAGCCAGACCTGGATGAATCTGGTCCCAATCATGTCCAGAGCTTAAAGCACCAGTACACCACACATCGGATCGCGGGTGTCAGCATGAGACCCGCTCCAGTTCAGAGGCCACCAATTTTTTTTCTTCAACGGCGCTCCTGGGCGTGCAGCGCCTCCGAGTTTTGCTTGTGGCAACCAAAACTTTCTGCAAGGCTGGGGACGGTTCAACACAAAAAGTAAGTGTGAGTATGGAACTCAGTCTGCTGGATCTGATGCAATTTGGAGAGAAGTACTAGACTACCGTCTTCACCCTAATAGAACGCCTGGTCATTAAAGCTGTATTTGGACACACCTCTCAGTAAGATACACCGGTCATGGTGGGCAATTGTATTCGGGTAAGGACTGTAGTAAATACTGGAGTCTACCGTCTTCACCCGAATACAACGTAAGGTTATTATAGTTGTATTTGGAGCAACTTTGAGTCTAGATACAACAATAATGACCGTATGTTGTATTTGGGTCTTGGGTGACGGCCTACTTCTGATTGGTATGTTATGGTTAAACCACCAGTACTTCCTAAAGTTGTGCCCAAGCCACAGTTTTAGGAAACGCACGGGCCACTACAGGAGCACCCAAATTCATCCGACTAGAAACATTTCTACTTTATATTTTTCCGCGGCTGATAGCTGGGCCAAGTACTGGTGGTTTAAGGTTGGTGGTTAACTTAGTTAAACCACCAGTACCTGGGCCAGTATATGCTCGGCCAAGGGTTCGGGGGTTCGGGCCACGCCGCACGCCATTGATGAAATTCATCAAAGGCGGCCCCAAACCCGGAAAGGTCGCATTTCATCAACGGCAGCCCCAAACCCTGAAGGTCGCATTTCATCAATAGCGGCCTCAAACCCCGAAGGTCGTGGCGGTTTGATGGCCCAGCTTGGAAAAAACCTAGATGGGGAAGGTTCTGGTGGTTTAACAGGATGGCCAAAGTTAATAAGGGATTTTGGGAATTTGGGGGAGGGTGTGGTGGTTGTCATCCCTTTGCCTTCTGTGTATAGAAGTGTGGTAGGGTGTCTATCCCTCCTGGTTTGTGCCAAATGGATGGAGCAGTCCTAAAAGAATGCATGCATGGTTGACTTGGACGGGACGGAACCACTTCCTTTTTCTTGCGGACCGAGCTAAACAGGCATTAGCTAAAATGGTTCTAGACCCTGAAGGGGAAGCCCGTTTTGAACCTAACTCTTATGGATTTAGGCCAGGACGCCATGATGGAAGCTCTGGATAGAGCCACTAGAGCCAAATATGTGCTTGACACCGACATTGCGAAATGCTTTGATCGGTGATAGGTGTTTTTGATGTGGGGTTAGCTCTGACAGTGTGTGGACTCTCCTCAGAGTCTGAGGAAGTTGTGTCCATGTGGTTTGGCCGCAAGGTTGGGCTTGACTGGTGATTAGCAACGGGTGCTCTGCACGCGCGGATGATGATCAACTTGTGTACTTTGGGATCCATTTGTCTCATTATTTCCTCATGATGTGCTTGGATTGTTGGACCAGTAACGTTACGGTAACTGTTATTGTGCTTGCTGGGTTATCATGACCGTGTGAGAATCAAAGCACAATAACTCAGGTTTGCTTGTGTTATTGGAACAGCGACATTACAGTAACTGTTATTGTGCTTGCTGGCTTAACTTAACTGTGTGAGAGTCCAAGCACAAGAAGTTAATAACTCATGTTTGGCATTGTTTGTTTGTGATATGCATGTGTGTGCAATGGATTGCGTGCATCTATCAGTGGATCTGTCTGTCTAATCTGCTTGTGCATCGGACAGGGTCTGCCACCAGTCCTCCACTGTGAGGAGTGGTGTGGTACTATGGTAGGTGCGCATGGTGGGCCTTTTTCTAAGGGAGGGCTCGTAGGGGGGGCACTTTACCTTCCTTGGGTGAGAAGGTGAGGGGGTGCCTCGTGTCGGCATAGGTGGTGGTCAGTAGGGGCCTGTTTTGGTATAGCAGGGGGACAGGCACAGGTTGTTGATGGGATGATGGGTGGGCCACCGTCGTCTCCCTGGAATAGAACATCATGCCCCACGGACATGCCACTAACAGACCGGACATGGACACGTCTGGCCACACGTGTCTGCCGCTGCTATGCAACACTCTCTTAGCTCAGCTTACGCTTACCAATTCTACTAGCATTTTGAAAGTTTGGCTATCGTTTGGCTATTGGCTATTTGATCCAGGTGGTGATGTGGATGGTGGTGCCTGCATGGGTCCGACATGCAGGCGGAAGTCATGTTGATCATTCGAAGCACCTTCTGCGGGTTGTTACTATGGCACAGTTCATCCCAAGGATACTTAGAATCATTCCTTTGATGTCGAGAATGCAGCGTGTGACAGGTGTTATTTTCGAGACTGCTTGGTCTGCCTTCATGTTGAATCTTCTAGGTCTTCTCGTGGAAAGCCATGTGAGTCTCACATATCCTCCTCCTCCTCCGCCTCCTGCTGCTGTTGCTTCTGCTTCTGCGGCTGCTTCTGCGGCTGCTTCTGCTCCTGCTGCTTCTGTGGCTGCTCCTGCTGCTGCTCCTGCTTCCACTGCTGCATCTGAAGTATACCCTCTCTCGGGCCTCACAGTGTCTGTGTGTGGTCAGTTTACCTCCAACATCCGGCGATTGGCAGACCCTTTTTCACAAAATTTACTTATCTAAAAGGATGCATGGATAGGCATTGATAGCAAATGCAGCCCCTTTACCACTACGAACCATTAACGCTGAACAGAGACAAATGCTGGATGCATGGTTTCCCAAAAGACCTGCTCGGACTGCTCCACCCTGTCTCCCTAATCAATGATGTATAGTGTCAAACGATTAATGTCATGAACAGCATAGCAGAAACGGGCACCAAGCTGATAAGCTCACATCCGAAAAGACCTCTCAGAAAGGGAACAGAAGGGGAGCAAGGCAAAGGAGGGAAGGGAAGGGAAGGGAGGGAATTTGAGAAAGGGAAAGACTTGAAGAGAGGAAGGAGAGGAATGGAAGAAAAGGGAGGAAAGGATGGTAAGGGAACGGAAGGAAGGAAAGGCGGTTAATAAGAGAGAAAGGAAGGACAGGGAAACGAAGTAAGGAAGAAGGTGAAGGAGGGGAAAGGGAGGGACGGAGGGAGGGAGGGAGGGAGGGGGGAAGGGAACAGGAGGAAGGGAAGGGAAGGGCAGGGAGGGAGTGAGGGGAGGAGGGAAGGGAAGGGGGGAAGCAGGGAAAGGGAAGAAAAGGAAGGGTGGGAGAAAAGAGAGGAAAGGAAGGGGAGGGAGGAAAGGGAGGAAAGGAAGGGGAAATGAAGAGGAAAGGAAAGGGAAGGGAAGGGGAAGGGGACGGGGAAGGGAAGGGAAGAAAGGAGAGAAGGAAAGGCAAGAGAGGGAAGAGGACGGAAGAGAAGGAAGCAGATGGAGGAAAGGGACAAAAGATGAGGAAGGGAAGGTGGGGGGGAAATGGGAGGGAAGAGATGAAAGAAAGGGGGGGAAGGAAAGGAAAGGAAAGAGAGGGAAGGGAAGGGAGGGAAGGCAAGGGAGGAAGAGGAGGGAAGGGAAGGGAGGGAAGGGAGGGAAGGCAAGGGAGGTATGGTAAGAGGCCGAAGGGAAAAAGACAGAATCAAGGGGTGGAAGAGGAAGGCAAACACGGAAAGGGAGGGAAGGGGGGGCGGGGAGGGAAGGGAAGAAGGGAAGGAAGGAAAGGAAGGATGGAAGGGAGAGGAAGAAGGGAGGGAGGGAGGGAGGGAGGGAGGGAGGGAAGGGGGAGGATTGACTGACGTACAAACTCAGATGGATAGACTACAAGGCAAGTTGACCAGCATTCTGAATGGCAGCAGTCGGAAAGACTTCTTTTACAGTGACTGGTCACACCGTCACTGGTGCAAACTCTCGGCCAAACCAGAGGCATGAAGTTTTAACTAAAGTTAAATGTGTATGACGGCAGCTTAAAAACTTTACGGGGATGCTAAAACTTCGTAAGGGATTGTTATTAGTGGGGTTGCATGGGTAACTCGTTTTCATTTGCTGCGGATAGGTTTATTTACATTACGAAACCTGGTAATGTTCCCGATGCTTCAATTCTTCTGTAATTTTATTTTTAAGGGATGCTGGTTCCCCGTACGTGCTGCTCTCCACGAATAGATCGGAGCTATGTTCCCCCC